GTTTGTTACCTATTTATTCTCTCTTTGCATATCCCATCCTTTCCTCCATCCATTCCTCTCACATTTTAAATTACAGCGAGAGGAGGAAGGCCCTAATGCCTTCCTCTCTGTGTGTATACATATGAACTCACTCTCAGTTTTTCCACTTCCCACATAACCACTCCTTTCAGTTATTTCCCAGGATTCCTTCACCTGTTCCCAAACACAATGCAGAGATATTTTTGTCAGCATAACAATTATCGATGTTTTCAAATTCTGAAACAAGTTACATCACCATACACCTATGGAGATTTATTGTCCCTGAAGGGAAGTACTATTAAAATTTCATTTCTTACTGCAATCTATTAAACATTTCCTCCTGTTAGCCCAGAACAAATCTGTGAGGAAAGCAAAACCAAAACAGCAGTCATCTCTTAGATGAGAAAAAGCACAGATTCACACAGAACTGAGAACAGAAACTCTACAGAAGGCACCAAGTAGAGAAGCAAGTTATGACTGCAGTAGCTGGGTTTGTAGTATGAACAAGGCCAGCTGCTCCTCTGCCATGCATTAAAACAAATTAGTTTTCAGAAAATGTTCACGTTCTTAACAGTTGTGGGACCACTCCCAAGACAGAGAGGTCACCTTAGCTATAGCATCCTTTCACTTAACAAAAGGACAGCAGACTAACAAGATCTGAAGGTAGAAAGGAAAAAAAGTTTAAAAACGGGTTCGTTATTTAGTACAGAATTCAATGTTTTGCTTCCTCCCGAGCAGTGCAAATCAACAAATGAAGGCAAATATCCAAACAACTTTTCATACTATTAGCAATGACATTTAGTGTAATTTTTCAGATTTTAAAACTAATTTTAATAAAATTTCATTAAGATAAAAAATTTAGATTAAATTGAATTCTGTTTGAATAGTAATACAAATTATGTTTTAATTCAATTTAATTGAAACATACTGTGGATTTCCAGATGGTCCCAAGTTGATATTCTGTGAGGTAGAGTTTAACTGTTGGGAGAGACAAAGAGGTTTATTTTTAATATACATATAATTTCTCTCTCGTATTTCAACTAATATTAAATTCACAATACTCTAATTTGCTGAATCTATACCTTTACATTTCCTATGTTAAAGAGATCCAACATCCAGACTGGGAACTTCCTAAGTTGTAAGTTGTCATCACCTTGTCACCAACTATTCCTACACACGTCATAAATAGTCAAGGATGAAGGTAATAAAATAACTGTGTCCAGATACAGAGGACAAGATTAGGAACAAAAATGTAAGAATGTTTTGAGAGACAATATGTTCCTCATCCAGAGCTTAATCCTTTCTGTATTTGGTCTGGGAATATATTTTCCACCTTTTATCCTAAATTTCCCAAGATCTTACCAATAAAATAATTTTAATTAAAAACACAGTGCTTTAAAAGCAAACAAACAAACAAAACCCCAAACAACAAAAGTGAACATTTTCCTTGCCCACAAAAACACTACATTACCAACCTTTTGTAACCTGACATTAAAGGTCAACTCAATGCCCAGAATGGCACCTGTACACCCAGACAGAATTTGCAAATTACAGGGAGAGGAGGAAGGCACTGCCATTTAAGAAATTTTCTCCATTTTGTTTTTCAATTAAAAAGCAGTATTTGTATTCTCATTCTGGTTTTGGACTTCATCAGAGAAGGACAAACTGCATTCAAATACAAGTTACCTGGGGACAGGCTAGCAGGCATCTCAAAACCAGTGCTCCTACAGAGGCAGAGAATGCCCAGACAGCAGCACTGGATGCTGCTATTCACTAATAAGAGCCAATCACACAATGGTACTGGACGGCTTTTAAAAAGCTACTATACAAGTTTTAAGACTTTTCCTTGAGGGCTTGGTTTTGTTCCTTACTGTTCAATTTCATCATTTACAGTAACTATGAGCAAGAGAATTTTCTATCAAAACGTATGGTCCAGGTCACCATGCATTAGCTCTATTCCTTGCTGTGGCATGACACATCATGAATTTAGAAGACGGTTTAGATCATTCCACATTACTTAAAATACCTTTCAAAGGAGAAGGAAACTGGTATTTTAAATCATAATTTTGCTTCACGCTCACGGTGATGTCAAGCACTTAAAGAAAAAAAGGCAGCAAAGACTGGCATCTCTGGATGCAAAACTTTCAGAAAACACTACATCTGCTGTGGATCACACATAAACCAATGACAATTCTTACATCTTCAGCAGGGGCTGAATGAGTAGTAATAAGATCACATCTGCATTCCAGGAAGTAAGCCATAGAGAAAACAAGCTTAAATATAGCACTTCTGCCTTCCTAGAAATACTCTGTTTTTCAAACAGCACTGTTTCTGGAAACTGTAAATTAATTTTCAGAAAAATCCATCTAGCCATGTAGTAGCTTCTGTGACAAAAGAGGCTTCAGACCTCATACAGTGTTATATGTGAAGTGAAATCAAATCCATCCTTGCTCCTGAGTGACTTTTAGAAAGACTGCATTTTTCCCCCCGAGAAAACTATATTTCTCCCCGTTTTAAAAAACCAACACACACACGAACAAAAAAAGACAATTAAGCACTCAATCTCCCCTGCTTCTTCCAGATGTTCTTAGCAAGAATCTCTGAAAAGACTGCAAAAACAGTGACAGCCAAGCTATGACTAAGGCTGTGTTTCTTGTACTCATACAGCAAGTGAGGAAGCAGCAAGACAAACCCGGCAATCGCTGTTATCCCTCTCTGTAGTTCACATCTGACAGAAAAATCTCTTACAGCCCACAGCGGAACCCATTTCTTTAAAAGAGCATGGAGGGGATTGATTGCAAAGCCAACCAGTAATTCTCAGTAAATAGTACACCTAGGATTACCCTCAAGTAGCTAAAATTTAGAAGAGCCTTCTGTTTCATTACCTTCCGACTGCTCCTTTCATCTTCATCTTCAGATGGATCCGACTGGTGTTTTGGGTTATCCATCTGAAGAAATGCTCTGACGTCTGGGCTAGAAACAGAGTTAACTCCGTTAGCTCACTGACACTCTGCGTGATTTTCAGCCGTAAGCATAGGATTAAACAGCAGCGTACAGAGGAGTTACTCATCACAGTTTTATATTTAAGTTCTAGTAATTAAGGACTGTGTACAAGAAATGCTTTTATAGCAACATAATTCAACTGCTGAATGCGTTACATACAGTACACAGAATTTTCCACTTGCAAAAAACCAACATGTTAAAGTATATGCATTGGAAGACTTCATAAGGAAATGCTCTGCAGAACTCCATTAAAAGACAATTATTAGAAGAAAGAACACTATCCAAAGCACAAGTTCTAACTGGCCAGCAACCACCAGGAAACAAACTTTCTTTCAGAATACCAAAGAGCTGAAAACCATTTTTAGTTTCCCAGAACTAATGAAATAATCCAACACAATACAGAATGAAATACACAGCCTGTGTCCCAAAGAAAGATGCACGTCCCAAGACGTACATAGTAGTAACACTCCTGCCCCCACTTGCTTTAAAGCAGAAGCTGGTTAATTTTGTATTCAGGATGCATTCTAGCTGGGCACTGCCAAGACAGTGCTAAGAAATCCTTCCAGTCTGCTGCAGGGCACAAACACAGTCCTTCAGGAACCAGCAAGAGAGACGACACACTTCTTGCGGTACCTAAAGAGATGCACTTTAACTTCAGCATTTGTTTCTTGCTACTGGCTGGGTGGGGGCTACAGGAGGAAGGAAGGAAAGTAAGAGAATTCTAAGAACCTACTCCCAGGAAGCAAGGTTTACGTTCTTGTGCATTTACTGTTGGGTAACATCTTTCTTAACCACAGCACAGTGAGCAAGTAAGGGATAATGTCATACAAGTGAGTCAAAATTAAATCCTAAACAAACGTTGTCCGAGTTTCACTGGGATAGAATCACAGAATCTATCTTTTATTCTCATTTTTGAGAAGACTGCAGCACCCGATTCAGTAGAACAAAGTTAATAAGACACACTGGTTTAGTTTGTGGCCAGCTCTGGTATGCAGGTTTCCACAGTGTTCGAGGTCTTCAGGAGTTCTGAGTCAGCCAGGTGCAAATGCTAGGAGGGGTAAAAGCCAGGGCAGCTAACCAAGCAGGCCAACACAAGTATTTCATACAATAAACTTCAAAGTTTGCTGGTAATGGTTGTCTGCTTTGGAGGATCTCGCCCATCGCTCTGCTCCCGAGGCCTACTCCCCCATTCAGTGTGACCACTGTGCTTTCACTGGAGCTGTGGTGCTCACAGTGTCTGACATCTAGCATTCACTGCTGGGAGAGCACAGTTTATGACCACGATATGGTCTGAGTGTAGCTCTGTGTAATTTTTATTAATACTGGTATTAATATTAGGGTTTTATTAATAGTTTATTAAATCTGTTTCCATTACAACCCAAAGGTCTCCTTTTCCCAATTACCCTCCTTGGGTGGGGAGGTGTCATCAGGTGATAAAACAACCATCTAAACGGAGACCCAAATAGAGCCTGTATACCACTTGAAGAGATGGCTCAAATCTTTCAAGTTCCTCCAGTTCACAGAAAGGCAGTCTGCTTCTCAAGGAAGAAATGTTACCTAAATTTCAGAGATAAAGGTCTTTGAGAAGGTCTCAAGGCAGCCACTGATAGGAAACTCTGCATAAGTCATTCAGTACAAGAAAAGCAAGAACTTACTATGGCGCTGCTCTTATCCCTAGTATATATAAAAAAGGGCAGTTTTATATAAGAAGTTGATATACTTCCTTTGCTATTTTCAGTCCATTTCACCCTCTAAACTTCTGTACAGTGAAGATCAGAAGTAAGAGATGAGCCATTTCTCCTGTTTCTCCAGCTCCTGTATTTTACATTAGCATTACTGAACCCAGCTCATGTCCTGTGCTATCTGAGACTCCCAGTCTCCATCACTTACATTCTCTAATTCCAAACCCTACTGGAAGTGTTTCAGCTACCTTCAGCCTTTCAGTTTTAAAATACAGCAAAAAGACTGTTCACACAATATCCCACCATCATTTCAGTTTAATTCTTCCCATCTTATATGAACTCCAAATTCTGATCTATTTCAGGCTTTGTTTTATATCCTGAGTCCCAGGAAGACAAAAATCACTGCATTTTGAATAGTGTAGTAACATTGGCTCATGACGCAACAATTAATTTAAATTTCAAAATCTTTGGAAATCATAAAATCAGGAATAAAAGGTTATGGTGAATGCTTTACACTAGACAGAACAACAAAACCAGACGTTAATTACCTTTCAGCATTAATTAGTCTGGACAACTGGCTGATTAAATAGAGCATGTTGTAATACATCTCAAATAGTTACTATAGTAACTTTGTTCATGACTGAATTCACAGCAGAAAAAAAAACCATAAAAACCCTTTCATAGTAAAAGGCTGCTGTAGAGTTGCTAGGTGTTCAGTGGTCTCCGTATTACACAGCAGCCAGAATGGTAACTGATCAATGTCACATTGTTCACATTTATTATTTTAAAAGCACTGCAAAGTAGTAGTGATTAAAAACAAAAGTTCAATGTACCAATTGCTTAGCCAAGATTACAGCATATTATGCAAAATGCTATACAGATTGGTAGGACTTCTGTGCTATATTAGCTCACATATATTAACTCAATGTATTTTAAAATATATTGAAACTATTCCTAAAATAACCTCACGTATCAAATTAAAAGGATCAATAAAACAGTTTAAAAAGGGATGCTCGACATACATTGTACATATGCTGCCAGCAAAAGTTGGTTTTGTCTGGATTTTTACGATTGACTGGTTAAATTTGTTTTATGGATTATCTCTGAAATCCATGAAGAGGTATCAAGCTCTGCCTAAATACAGTTCCTTCTGTGATATTTGTTCTGCATTACCCTTCCTGCAGAAACATACAAAGCCACACAAAAATTTTGTACACACCCACAAACATGAATAAGCCCAGAGTCATACAAATTTCAAAGCACGATTGTGAAGTTATTTGCCAATGACAAAACTTTAATGTTTAAGACACACTTGTTTTAAAAAATGGTGCCCAACTCCAAAAAGTAAACCACTGCCATCTTTCTTACAGAGAGCAAGGCTCAAAAAGCCATAATGTACAGTAAGATTTTAAAAGAGCACAACTAAAGAAATGCAAGGTTTGCTTTTCCCAACATGGACTGCAAGATCTTACAATCCAGGAGTTTCATATTCATCAGACTTTGGAACCAGAAAAATCCAGTCACTCCTATTTTTTTCTAGGTAACAAATGCAGAACCCCCCCACCCTTCTCACTTGAAGAGCTGATAACTCATTACCTCACGGAGGTTGCAGTGTATTGTCATCCCTCAGTTCTTCAAGTGTTATGCAAATGTTCTCATTTTCATTAAGGAGCTACTTCGTACTATTTAAAGATAACTATGTTACATTTTTAATGCAACCTCTATTATACATTTGATTCAAACAGATTTTCTTTGGACACGTTCTGATACACAAGTAAATGCATTATTTTTTCAGTGAAGACCTACATTGGAGGGGGCGAGCAGTCCAATTGGAATAGCTGCTCAGTGATTCGGGGGGGTCTCACGGTGCTCACAAGTAACAAACTCCCAGCTCCTATCCAGTCAGCAATGGGGACACATCATCAGAGCTCTACCCCTTCTGACATCTTTTTGGCAACATCTGCATTCTATCCATGACAGCAAGTTCTCTATCAAATACAGTTAACTGAGTAAATACAGCTTGAAGCGAGTCCACTTCATTCCCAGTGTGGCCTAAGCCAGTGATCCATCTCACCTTCTCTTCCACCTGACAGCAGGTGCAGGAAAATCTTTCTCAACCATTACAGGGTGTCTCTAATCACTCTAGCACACTTCAGGTTTTTGATGGGTTTATTATTGAGCAGAAAGGTTTGGCTTTGACACAATATTCAACAAATGTGTCAGACCCAAGAATAAAGTCCAATGAAGGAGAGGAAAAAAAGGAAAAAAAAAAGAAAAAAGAGAAAAGAAGATCATAGTGCTGCAGATGCCACAGAATAATGTAAATATTACTAGCTTGGACACACAGTTTGCTCTTCTCAATTCAGATATTCAGGTGCCTTCCCTTCCTGAAATGAGGGCATCATAACAAACCATCCTTTAGCTTTTAGTGAAAGTTTTCCTAGATAGGACTTAGTATGACATCCTGGTACTGGTTTTAATGCTTAAAAGAGGTAGTGGAAGGTGGACTTCCTTAAAATCCTGTGAGAACAAACAACCTCCTAAGTCTTCCTTGCACATTACTAACTTTACGTAAGTTATTTTACCTCATATAAAATTTAATTAGCACATTAAAGCACAACACTAAGAAAGCAAGGATGTGGATATCCGTGAAGACTCAGTCATCACATATTCCTTGAGTAGTTTCTAGCAGATTTTACAAAAAAATCCAACCAAACAAACACCAAAATAAAATCCACCAATCAAACAAGCCCCAAAATGCCAAATAACCAAGGTAATAAAGTTCTGGTATTTCTTCACCAACAACATTCACTGGCACATAGAAAAGGTGACAGATCATGTAATTAATATAATTTGCTGCAGTGGAGCACTGCAAAAAGTAAAAGCTCACTCCAGAAAAACAAAGTACCTTGCAGGTATTAACAGAAAAACACCACAGAAGTTACTAAAAATGAAATGCTTTTGCACTGAGTTGTGAATTAAAAGCCTTGCCTTTTCTCCCACATAAATCACTGTTACTTTAAGGGTGGGGAGAACAGCACAACACAAACTTCAGTCTCTTATTTTTTTTTTCCTAGTGGACCTATGCCTAATAAGCTTTTCTTAAACACACTTTCAACAGCACCAAAACACTTTGTAAGAGCTATTTCTTAATACTGGTTTAAGTCAGTTTTAATGGATGAGACAGGCAAAGCGCCATGCTGAAGAACGCAAATTCAGCGACAGATGCATTTGAGCATAAAACTACCTTAAAATCTCACAAAAAATTAAGAAGGCGAGTGGATCTGAAGTTTGAATTGATTTTTTTTTAGCACACAATTTTGTGATGTGAATAACAAAAAGTACCATTTCACCTTTGGAGAACAAATATAGTATGCTTTGAGACAAAATTTTTGGTGCTTGGATATAGTGACAAGCAAACAAGGGAGGGGATTGTGCTAACTAAACCCAGCGTCTTTTCTTAATGTAACAAAAGAGATTAGCTTTCAATAATTAGTTATTTTTAAATGCTTTCTATCCTTTCCCAGAGAAGAACACGACTATGATCACAAACCTCTCAGTGTTTGTTCTAGTGGAAAACTATTCCACCACAAAGTCTCCGTTCTGACATTTTTTCCACTTATCACAAGGAAGTATACAGAAAATGTTCTTTTCTCCAAAAAAGAAAGTAAGTACATATTTCAGGTTAATAGGACATTAAATAGTTCATTTGTTGGCACAAAAAAATAATCTGACTGCACACTGCAAACTGCAGCAATATTCTGTTAAGTGATTTTTTTTTTTTTCTGTGGGAAACTGGCAGCTTCCAAGATTGAACAGATAGGGTAGTTAAACAAAGCACATATATTAAATAAATTTACTCAACACTAAAGCCAAACACAAAGCTTTAGCATTTTACTAGTTCAAGCAACATAGAGAGCTACACGGTTTTAGTATAAACTGATCAGGTATAGATTTGAACTGAAAGAAAAATGCCGTTTCCCCCCAGATCAGTTCACACACACAAGCGCTATCCTTCGTATGTAACTGGAGCTGACTCTAGCGTATCACCATCTCTCATTCAGCACCGTCCCACTGATGGAGGTCAACAATCCCACATTTCTGCTGGTGGCACAGTTTATGCACAGTTTACGTGCAAGCTTATGTGTTTGCTTTAAGCCACTCGGCTTGGTCATCCCAAACCACCTATGCAAGCTGATGAAGCTAATTTAACATGCTTAAAACAAGCTCTGGAGTACACACATGAACTGCTCTAACAAGAGGATGCAGGCAGTGACTTACTCCCAGCAAGGTCATAGCAAGTGACAGCAGGGCTCTCAAACAGCAAAGCTATCAACAAAACTTACACCTGCCCTACAGCAACAGAGTTTACACTGGAATCTGCACCTCTTCAGCGAAGATCACTTAATTACCTGCAAGTTTATTTGTAAATCTGTTTTCAGAAAACAAAATCATTTTTATACTGTTCATTAGTCTTTAGATTTTTCCTGAAGGAACAAACAGCCACATTGAAGTTTACTTAGTATACTTAAGAGCACTGAACAGCTAAAATAAATTTTCTGGTTAAAAGGACTTAATTTACAATTTTTTATTTGACATCTCATATCTTTTAAATAGTTCTTATAAAACAGAAATGAAACCACTTACTGGTTGCATAGCTCTGGCTGTCGAACTAAATTTTGAATGAATTCATTCAGTCCCGCTCTTCTCTGTTTAATAAAATCTGTAAAAAAAAATAAAAGAGAGAAATTTATTAGAACGATCAGTCAGGTTGCAAGAAAGACTTATTTTCCAATTTAGTGGTTTTCAGGACATAAACAGCAGTTAAAAAGATACTGGTTCATAACTGCAGCATGAACAGGATTGGTTCCACATGTGAAAACCACAAGCTTAAAACATTCAAGTGAGGTAAGACAACAAACCTCAGGTTCTTTGCATCACTATTTGAAAATGTGCAACCACAGTGGTCCAACCTGTGCAGCCTTCATGGCATGGGTAAGACCTTCAGGACCTGATTCTGCTCAAAAAAATCCACAGGCAAAACTTGACATCAGCCACACAAGTTTTTACATGAACAGTCCCGCTGAGCAGCATATTTCCATAATATATGTATGGCAGTGGAAAGTTGCACAATTCATCCAGCTAGCAGGCACTCAGATGTAACCATTAAAGACAACTAAATAAAACGCTTTTCTTTCCATTTTGGACATCATCTCTAACATTAAAAAAATAAAAATAGCCCTCAGAATCTCCACCCTCAACCAAAGTTTAACACACAACTTTTCTTTACCAATATGGAAAGATACACAATGGACTTGAAATAGAAAAAGAGCTCTAACATGAAATAAAGTATAAAACAGAATAATCTTGTCTTTCATTACTCTTTGTATGGGAAAAGAATATTTAACTTGTGTATTAACTTTTAAGGTATTCCAATGACTGTCACTTAAAGATTACTGACAACTATAAGCATTTTAAATTAAAATGAAATTTCAATTAAAAGCTCTATTTCAAATATTAAGAAAAACGTTCACATCGTTTCAGGGATCTAATCCCTAAACCCTTGTTAGGGTAGTTAATAATCCCAAATTACTGACATCAGACAGGAAGGTCTATTTGCATAAAGATGTGACGTGAGTCACCAGCATCAGCAGTTTCAGCATGGTGGATGTACAGCGTCATCAGCCACTCCACACCTACAGAGCTACTCATGCTGTTGAAGGTAAAACACCTGCATCACATCAAATGCTTTCTCTAATTTTCTAGTTCTGTATTCTGAGTGGTTTCTGTGATTTCCCTCTGCTCCACTTCTGAAGTCAAAACAAGATTAATTTTGAAATAACCTAAGTGACAAAAAAATGGAGCACTTAGATGACAATGAATGTTACATCAGTATTTTTGGTAGATTTTGGGAAAAGAGATATATAAGTTTCACTCTACTGCACTTGTCTCCAATGCAATAGTACAGTGCTGCATACCCAAACATGGATTGACAGCAGTAAAATACCTTTACAACATTTGTAAGATATGCAACTTATTTCAGAAGCCAGCAGAAACATTAGATCAAAGCTTCAATAAATCAATGTTAAGATAAAGAATTGTTTAAATAAGCATCATGGCTCCATCTCCACCCTGCCCCCCAGCAAGAAACATCTTGAGAACTATTTGGTTTCTCATGCTTCAAGGATTTCAGCACAGTTCACAGAAATTTAAAACAAGCCTGAGGACTCTGTTTTACATATATAGTTTTAATAAAATTTTGAGTTGGTTTTTTTCCCCATTTAAATTCCAGTTCCCTAAATTTGACTCCAAGAAATCCACCTGTATATTTGGCTGTACAGCAGACCAGAGTGCATGACATTACTTGGTCTTCACCTAGCTCTGAAAACCCCAAGGTCAGAGAAAAGGAAAGAAACCAAAACAAGGTAAGAAGTTCCTGTAGACACAACACACGTAAAACTTTTGTCAGTCGTTTACATCTTTATCAGAAGAGGACATCATAGCTTGCATACTTGCATTTGATGATTTTAATAAAAAATAAAAGGGAGTTTCATGTCAGGCTCCAGATGATTAACTGTAACAGCCAAAAATTAATGTTTGGAAGAACTCTAAAAGACCCCAAAAACTCCAAATCTGAAGAGATTGGATCCATTTGCTCTTCAGCAAAGGAGAAAATGAAATGCCTGGAACAGATGCAGGAGCAGGTGAAAGTACAAACACAGTCTGAACACATCAGCAAGCCAGGGGATGGTGGGAAGCTCCCAATGACCATCAGGAAAACCTGTAAGCAAAGAGGGCCTGAAGGAAAGGTATGAACACACAGAGCAAAGGCCTGGCCTTCTCATTCACCTTTTTATTTATTTATTGGTGGTGCCACCTGTGTTAATTCAATCCATTTTTGGTATTTTGATATGGGCAGAGCAAGCTTAATTGGGACCCATCACTGCTAACTCAACCACATCATGTTCACATCAGACAGGCTTCTGTAAGTGGAACAACAACAGGAAGAGGTTCATTTTCATCTGAACTGTACAAAGACGCACATTTAGATACAGAGAGATCAAAAATTCACTAGGCATATGTTTAGAAGAGTCTGGGGCTTGGTTTTAGCTTTTATAGAAAAGAGATTACACCTGTCAGCTCAAAATCTCTCACCATCCTGAAAATGGGAGGGTTGGGACTTCAGTGCAAGAGAGGCACTGGACCACCATGGAAGACTTTGTTCACAATCACAAGGTAGAATACCTACCTACGCTAGTTCCTGCTCTTGACTGAAGCATGACTAAACTTTGGGTTAGTCACTGTTTTCAGGACTGGTGTAAAACTCATCTAAGATTGCTTCTGGTAGGCTGGAACAGAACAATTTTCATATAAAGAAACTGACAAAATGAGTAACAAGATAACTTACCTGGATCAAAATTATCTCCAAATATTCTTTTAGCTGGAATCTTTAGGTTCATAGTGGGAAATTGCTTCTTTAGCTGAAAACAAAACACAATTGGATTGTGCTTAGACATCAAAGTACCTAGAAATAATTGTGCTTTTGTTGTTGTTTTCTGATAAACAGGTAGAACATTTGATTATTAGTAATTCTGCTCCTCTTAGCCATCTTCTTCACTTATACACTTGGAGGGGGGGAATAAAAAAAAATCAAAACAATCAGTACTGAGCTTGTTTGCATTAGTCATACCCTTTGAAATTCAAAGGTGCTCTCACTTTAGAAAGCTACAGACTATCGCAGCTATCTTCTGCAATACTGCCAAAGCGACAAAGTGATTGTTCACTTGCCCCAGATTTAAAAAGTAGGCTAGAATGTAAATGGTTTTATTCTCCTGTTTACTTCCTTCCTCCATCAATTCTCTCTCATGGGTTTGTTTTTCTCTTATTTGCTTGCACAGGGGTATATGCATGAGGCTGAAGATGGTTTAGCGGATACAAACCTCTGGGTTTTGCCCAAAAACTTTCTTAAAGCTTTATAAACCACAGCAAGTCTACCCGTAAGTAAAAACTGTAAATGGATGAACAGTCTGTTTTATGATGCTGCATTTGATAATTTGATAATATTATACACTTGATAAACCCACCAGAAGATTGTATACAACAGCACTGAATTTACAAAGAAAACCTGACATGAGCCAAGCCTTGACATCTGCTTCATCTCCAAGCGCTTCAGAAAAGCAACTCTTTAAGTGAGCAGTTTTCTAATACAGTATCTGGCAATTCTTCTTTCCTTAGAAACATCAGTATTGCTTCCACTTACCAGCACAAGTTCTTTTTGGCATACTACACTATATAAATTACACTGAACAGAAACTGGACTAAAGTCTTCCTGGACCTCCACCTCTACATGCATTAGAAAGATGGGTGCTGAATGAACTTCAGCAGAGCCAACACTGATCTAAATGGGAAGAGAATGTGGCAAAGGGAATAGGATCACCAGCAGCTACTCTGCTGGTATCAAAAAGGAGTTAACTTTCTTTTCACATCACTTGCAAGTCTATCCCAAAATGCAGGCAAACCATAGATAGGACGGTGTATCCAGGCTGACTTCAGCTCAGATCTTGTCAGACAGCTCCAAGCTCACTGCCTGCATCTGTATACCACTGCCACATACAAATCCACATACAGTGAGGCAGAAGAGAGAAAAGCCTGACTACTTCCCATAGGGGCAATGGAAGGGAAATGGAGGCACAGATAAGCAGCTAGTAATATTTTCTTATGGGGATCACACAGAAATTACTTTTGTTAAAGCAAAACTTGTGGACTCTAACCATGAAGAACTGCAGAAAGGAACGTACACAAGACACCCAACAGACTGCACATCTGAGCAAGTTACTTGCCCACTATGTAAAAGGGGCAAAATCCTCTTCTAGCAACAAACCCAAGAAATCCATGCTTAGCTGCTTAAGGTACTCATTTTATTTGGACCACTGCCACAAAACTTGGCTATGAAATTTCAAGTAGGAATAGCCATGACTGACTTACCAGAAAGTTTATATTGAGAAACAAGGATCTGTTCATTGCTTTTAATACTTCAATACTTTAAGAGAAATTTATCTATCTAGATCTTTAAAGTTTTGCAGTGATTTTTACTATCATGAACAAATCCACATTTCAGACGTTTTGACAATGCGTAAATTTTAAGTTTCTCGCATTATGCTATGATCCCAAGCAAAAACAAAAAAAGAAGCAACAAGTAAGTAGATTTTGAGTTCAAAATTCAAACAAACCCAAGTTTGAAAAACCCACCCTGTAATTTTTGTTTAACAGGCTCCTATGGTTATTGAATGTTGACTCAAACTCCTCAATGAGGGAATTAAACCATAACATGGCAAACAAGTGTTATTCTGTGCTATTCTGGCACAATTTCATAGCTTGCCTTTTGCTTACCGTATTGTAGAGTTTATCAAACTCTGCATACCGCCTGAAGACGAACCACTCATTTCTGCCAACTGAGACCAACACTTTGTAAACCTGCAGGAACAAAGATCAAGTTATTGCCAACAGCAAACTTTAATAAAACCTCACAGGTTTAATCCTGTGGTGGAAGTCAGGGCAGGCTGTTAAACAAACTGTGTAAACGTACTTGTTGAGCTGTATCTTTCTTACAGCTAAGTCACACAGACATCAACACAAATGATTAAAATGATTAAAATGATTAAAAGAACAAACAGAAGAGTCTGGTATTTTACAGAAACAGTTTTTGCTTAGCTGGTCTTTAAAAAAAACAAACACACACACACACACCCCCCTACACCCAAAGCTGATTTAATGGAGTTTCATAAATTAGTTCATATCCAACACGAACACCTGGCCATCTGAGAGCAGTCTATAAAAAATTGCTATGAAATTTGTTCACACCTTGATAATCCATAATAAAGGCTAACATTAATGAATTAAAGCATTTAAACACTGAAGACTGCCTTCACTGAAGCCTACAAAGCAAGCACATATGGAAGGCAGTTATAAAGATAACTCTTCCTTGCAACATCTTTAACACGTATTACAGTCAGGATGCTGGCAGATGGCTGGAGACTTAAACACAATTGTTCAGGGGGAGGAAGATGCTGCTGTGGCTGAAATACAGCACAGGTTACGTAACACACAGCACTGGGATCGCGGGAGGCGTAGCCAGAACCTGCTGCAGGGCTGGGCATCCAAATCCCATGGCAGCAGAGGACTCCAATAACCGTAACTGACAGACTGTCAGTCCCTGGCTTCACAAATTTGGCTGATAGCCGAGTGTCCAGCAGGCTTCTCCTGTCTCTTACACAACCAGTACACCTCCCTTCTCCACCTTCCTGTACTTCAAGAAGGAGCCTGGCTATTCCTTCAGAGGAGAGGATAGGGCACAGCAAGGAAACGAGTGCAGAAGGCTGCTAGTTCTTGATGTTGAAAACTAGACCAATGCCCCAGTCTCCCTTCTGTCTTGCAACAGCAGCTGACCTCTCCCTTCTCAACTCCCTCAGTGAAAGCGGCAGCCACCACCATCAGTTCCTCAGCCTGAGATTTGCATTCATGCTATGTCAACTGCTCAGAAAAGCTGCTCTCAGTCTTCCCTGAGGAGCACAGGAGGCAGGACAGAAGGATCCAGTAGGATGCTGCTGAGACTCTACTTAGAAAAGTAGCTTTCCATTATACTGCTAAGCAAGTGTTAGCATAGAACCTAGCTACACACCTTGTAGAGCCTCCCTAGACTGTAAACAGCAAAAGCATCAGCTGCAAAGACTCAAGTACAGTACTCCTAAGCTAGGTATCTTATACAGCAATCAAGTCCTGCAAATGACATGTCTTCACCCTCCATGGCTGCATGGCAGATCAATGCCAAGAGGCTTAAGAAGCAAGCCATGCACTATTTCTTACATCAGCAGGGCAAAACGCTCAAACTGCAAAGTGCACAGGCAAGCGTAACTTTGGATACAAGACAATATTCACCTCCTTGGCAACCTCAAAATTAAAACAGTTTTGTTCTCAAAGTAGCTAGCTGTAAAACAATGACAGTCAACATTTTTTACATAAGAGAGCATTAAAAAACCCTACGAGGATTCACACTATCACTGAAGCTCTTGCTTCAGGACAACCCAACAAAGGAGAAACTGCAAGTCAACAGTTACAGAAGCACTGGGTGTTAAGAACACATTTGGTATCTACAAAGAATCTGGCAAAACTCCAACACACAACATGTCTTTGAGCTGCGTTACTACTCTCAACTACACCTAATGTGTAGATACATAGACACGTGCAATGCCTGTTTCTAGAAAGGTAGCTGGGAGGAATCTAGCCTTAGTTAGCTAACAACCTTTTCAAATCTAAACTCCTAAACCAAAACTAGTCTTAGAAAACTCCTAAAACATAGGTAACATGCATCCACACACTGTAATACATGGACAAATAATCCAGAGCTTGGAGAAGCTAAGAAGGAAGAAAAAGAAAGAGAATTCCTGAAAACATCACTATCACAACCGTCGTCATTGTAAACTATCTTCCCAGATACAGACAGAACAGGGTCCTGCTATTTCTGGATGTAATAGATTTCTTCACAAAAAACCCCAAAACACTGAAATTAAAAGGTTTCAACTCTGTTTTGGTAGTTCATACTCCTGGATTAAATATTCAATTTGTATTAAAGAAAGGCAAATAAAAAGGTAGGTGGTCTTCCAATTTCAAGAGAACAAGCATAGAGAAAGTAAGCAAATTATTAAGTGTCAACAAAATAAAAAAAACAACTCCACAATTTCTGCAGGGCTGGGGATTAGTATTATACATCACAGGTCTGAGACAGAGTTTCCCGATTTAAGCAGACAATCAGCACCCTTGAAAGAGATTTTTCAGTAAGCCTGTATATGATGCAGGTGTGAAGGGAGATGAGAACAGGTCTGAAGAGAAAATTAAGCCTCAGACATCAAACAGCATAGGGATAAAAGCGAGAAATCGGTAGCAACACTACTTGGCAAAACAGGCAAAATAATGGCCCACTACGCAGCAAGGACAGAATAGCAATTAATATGGGCTAGATATGGTCCAAAACAAGCAAGTATTTTGCTGCTCTTATGAAGAGGGTGAATGCTGAACCTTCAGAAAAAGACAGGACAGCGAACTAGTGTGGATATACACAGAGGCTGGTTACCATGAATTAAGTGGAGCCTAAAAAGCTTCCCTGCCAGAATGACCACAAATTTCAAACAAAACTATATGTCAAGGAAAAAAAAAAAGGGTAGTTTATGTATCAAACGTACACAGTATTTAACTAAACCAAATCAAATATGCAATAAAAGGTTATGAAAATGCTCAGGAGGAATGAAGAGTTCACTTCCAAAGACAAAACTCAAAAGCTTGACTCATTTACCAAAATGAGGACTACACAGAGACATGATAATTAGCAAAAATGCTTCAAGAGAAGAGACACAGTAAAAGCACTGACAGATACATGCTGGAATTCACTGTTCTTACCATGAAGTTTAGTATGACCCTCACTTCTGTTATCAAATCCCAAAATATATGCGATAATACTCAAAAGCTTGGTTGTGAAAAGCAGTTCTTGTCAAGATGCTAATTATTCCCTGATGTAGAAAGCAGAAGCCACCAAGACAAAGTTCCCTTGGGCTGTTCCCCAGTGTTAGGGCCAGTTCTGTTTGACATCTTTATCAATGACCCGGACAAGGGGGTTGAGCGCACTCTCAGTAAGTTTGCAGATGACACTAAGCTGGGCAGAAGTGCTGATCTGCTTGAGGGTAGAAAGGCTCTACACAGGGACCCAGACAGGCTGGATCAAGGGGCTGCAGCCAATCCTACGAGGTTCAACAAGGCCAAGTGCCACCAGGTGCTGCACCTGCATTGCAACAACCCTGTACAACGCTACAGGCTTGGGGATGAGTGGCTGGAAAGCTGCTTGGCAGAGAAGGATCTGGGGGTTCTGGTCAACAGCCAACTGAATATGAGCCAGCAGTGAGCCCCGGTGGTCAAGGCCAACAGCATCCTGGCTTGTACCAGAAACGGTAACCAGCAGGACCAGGAAAGTGATCCTTTCTCTGTGCTCAGCACTGGTGAGGCCACACCTCAAATATTGTGTTCAGTTTTGGGCCCCTCACTACAAGACAGACATTGAGGTGCTTGAGCATGTCCAAAGAAGGGCAACGAAGCTGCTAAAGGCTCTAGAGAAGTCTTATGAGGAGTGGCTGAGGGAACTGGGCTTGTTTAGTCTGGAGAAAAGGAGGCTCAGGGGAGACCTTATCACTTTCCACAACTACCTGAAAGGAGGGTATAGCGAGGTGGGGGTCAGTCTCTTCTACCAAATAAGCAGCAATAGGATGAGAGGAAATGGCCTCAAGTTGCACCAGGGGAGGTTTAGATTGGATATTAGGAAAAATTTATTCACTGAAAGGTTATCAGGCATTGAAATGGGCTGCCCAGGGAAGTGGTGGAGTCACCATTCCTGGAGGCATTTAAAATATGGGTAGATGTGGTGCTTAGAGACATGGTTTAGTAGTGGACAGGTTATGGTTGGACTTGATGGTCTTAAAAAGTCTTTTCCAATCAAATGATTCTATGAAAGCATAACCACACACAGCACAAGATAGGTTGCATTCCTTCTCCCCTTCCCTCAACCTCCAATTTCTGAAGTTTCCTACTCTTGCTTGTACAGCTTTCTAAAGAGCAAGCCCTTATGTTGCTATGGTTGTCACACAGAAGTTTAGGGAAAATGACCTGGAAATCACAACACTAGTGCCTACCACAAACATACCACACCAGCACATTTTAACAGCAAGACTGCCAGCACTGAGACAATAAAACAAACCTGGTTTGCTCAAGTTCAGACTTTCACGAATTTTTCCTGCTTATTTGAGTTTCACGTGCATGCAGCAGTTTAAAGTATTAGTAAAGTTCTCTTTTGCTTGCTCCCTTTAGCAGCACACTCCTTCCCCAGATTAAATCTTGATACACTTGTAGAATCAAACAGCATTATTCTTCTCTGAGGAACAGAGGTCAAGACAAAAGGCAGGTACATAACTCAAAGCAAATCTTCGTTTGTTGTGTTGTATTCTTCAGACAGCAATTCAGACTAAGGGTGTTTGCCCCTTCCACATCTGAGAACTGACTAATTCACTCAAAAAAAAAAAAAAGCTTAGAGGAAGTTGCACAAGAGCAATGAAACAGTTGGAGCTTTTCAAAGGAAGTATTATGATACTGTCTTTATATCCTAGCATACATATAAGAAAAACAAAAATCCATGCAATGCAGAGATTCCTCACAGAATGGGCAGACTCTACTTCCAGAAATCATGTCAAACTGGGAGGACAAAAAAGGAAGAAGGAAGGGAATGAAAAGGACTGGAAATGGAAACAGGATAGGAAAAAACTCATAGGCATTAGAATCAGAAAACAGGAAGACAGAAAAAGGATCTTTTAAAACTTCAATATTTTATTTTTTTGTTCTTTTACACAAAAAAATATATAGAAGTATAATAGGATATCTATGAAAAAAACTGGTCACTTAAAAAAAGAAAAACGCCACCAAAAACAACCTCACACTTTACTCCTTTATAAAATAAATGTTTTAATGAAAAATCACGTAGGATGCCAACGCGTAATCTGATTTTGTACAAAATGCTATCCCTGCATTTGGACACTTACGTATTTTACACGTGAAAATGCTGCTATCTGGGGGAAAACATACCAGAAATTTGTAAAGCCAAATTATTTTTGTAGAAAGCAACAAAGTTAAACACTGTAAAACATTCACAACTTCACACACTGGACTATGGCCAGTGCTCACAAGACCAAGTGAACAGATTTTCATAAACATGTTGAAAATAATACCAAACTTAGTAGTTAAAAAAAACAACCAACCAAACCAAAAAACAGCCTATGCATCTTTTTTACAGTGCTTACAATCTTACATACTTACAGTAAATCTTTTCTTCTTCTCTCTGTGTTCATCAGAGCTGGGAATGCTAACACTTGGGCAGCTTTCTTTGAGATCCATTGTATGTGTTCTTTTGACAAAGGTGTTACAGGACGCCGCTTCTGGTGTTGCAATCAGAAGGTATCTTCAACGGTACTGGTCCAAGACACGTAGCTTTTCTTGAGAAAGCATGAATTCCATCATGTAATCTTAAAGTGAACAAAAAGGAAAATTAAGTACAGGAACACAGAACTCAGTGCTAAAACCTGTGCAACAACTTTTCCTAGCACTTTATTATGCACATATACAGCCATAATAATTACAATTTTGCAAACTGTTTCATGCTTGTGGTCCTTTTTGTTTCACTGAAATCACTCACGTTCTCTAAAGGACACAAGTGCATCCCCCCAAAAAATCCCTGAGTTACGCAGCTATACTGGAAACGGATTTGGGCCCACTACTGAGAATACTTAGAAGGAACAAAGATAGAGGCCAGAGAAATAATTAAAGATGACAGTATGGTATCAGACATCTGAGAAAAGCCACTAATGTGTACATTCAGAGCAGTTTATTTCAAAAACAGAGGTTTTCAACTGCATAAGCATGTACCAGAGGGCATTTCAGATTTGTCAGAACAGGCTGAGTATATGCAATTATCCCATCCAACATGAAGGATGACATGAGAAAAAATAATTTTTCATGTGAATTTTAAAGAGGGACATAGGTAGCACCATGTGTCTTGAGTATTTACTTTCTCTGCCCCTCCTTCCCCCATACTTGGCATACAGTGAGGTTATCCATTTCCATCAGGAGAAGGGTTGGCTTCCTTGCAGAACTTGAGAAGGGCACAGGACAAGAGAAAGGATAAAGCCACCAAAAAGGCAGAGAGTTCAGCATTAACCAGATGCTGCTTCTCCACTTGCTGAGGGACACTATACTCCACACCTGCCCTAAGCACAAGCAAATTAGTTACTGGACCCTATTGCAAAGAACAGGAACTTCAGCACTGCCAAAGAGCAGCCAAAATTAATGCTACGTAGCTACAACCCTCTGTCCAGGCCTGCATGGCCATCTGAAGTGTTTCAGTGAATGCAGTTCAGCCTTTACAACACTGTGTGCCTGACCAACTTACAAACGTTAGAAAAGCTTTTTAGAAAGATGAGACCTCTGTTCTCTTCAAAACACCCAGAGGAAAGAGGAGCGCCCAGTTCAACATTTAACTCTCTGTTTTCTTTAAACAGGGAAGTATGAAAATGAACTGTATAGTTCACATCATAAATTTCCAAAAAGCACAAACTAATCCAATGCAGGTCTGCTATTAGAGAGACACCCACATTTCTGTTGGCACAAAGGCCAAAGTCTCTGGAATCCAGTGAAAAGATCTGCTCTTGATATCCAGCTAGTCTCAGTCAGTTGACTATTTTTCTTCTCAGAAGCCAGATTATCTCTCCGGTTCAAATTTCATGTTATTATTCCTCCTGTAGCCATTTAAAATTAAGTAATTTTCAAAGCTCTATGTGGTGACTTTAAACAAAATGGAGTGTCTAAAACCACTGTAATCACAGCTAAATGACAGATCATCCATACTGCAACATACTCAGAGGATTATTTTTAGGTACATCTGCATTTACCTTAATTTGATTGTTCCCTGCTTCACTGATTAGGTAATTACAGAGTTGAGCAGGGTTAAGCTTTGGCATCACCTTTATTTGACTGTAACAAAGCTCATCCAAGCCAGTTACACAGACCTTGAGTTTCAAATTGGTTTCTCTTTTCCTTCGGCAAGCCACTGTTAGAAACTTTGCACAGTTCCCATTTTCCACAATTTTATGCTGGCATGGGATTAAGACTGTTCTTCACCAATTGCTACATACTAAAGTGAAGATCTAAAGGTTAACTGTGCTTTTCTCCACCATAAGAGGTGCACTAAAACAGTCAATAGGCACCACCTTCCGTAAGTGTTTCACTGAGCTCAGACTTCACTAAGCACTTATGTCAATCTTTAGCCACTTCAGGTCCAGCGCCAGGAACTGAACACAAGTCTCTGTGTTTTATCTGTATTCCTGCTCATGACAGAAAAACAAGTAAAGCTTTAAAATGGATTAGGTGCTCCCTGACTACTATCACTCACCATCTTTCTCCTCCTGTAAATTGACATTAGCTACAAAGGTTGCTAACATGCTTGCACTCATTCTCACAATATAGGCTGTACTTCTCTTATCTTTTTCATTTTTTATTCTTAGTGTCATAATTTTAAATACCAGTGCAGAAGCAGTATGGATTAAAAGCTGCAGTCCAAAGAATATCACTTGGAAGACTGAGCTTTATTCCAGATCTGAAGTTGAAAGATCTAAGGAAAACAAAAGGAGGAAGTGTCGCCCAGATTAATTCAGGAAGAGTTTATTCATCTTACTGGGGAGAAGAAGAATAAATCATGAGAGAAGCTGAAACTGCAATGTTCACGTTTCTTTCTTTAAAGCTGCCTGGAAGCTCACTGGCTGTGGTAATTTTCTTCCCCTGAGGCATCTCCTCTGAGTGGTGCCTGGGTCACCAACACCAAGGTGAACTGACAAACTTGGAAGAAATGCATTTTCAGTTTGCCACTAAGCTCCAGAGGATCAGAGCTTGCTTTCAATTTCGATCTGCCATGAGAATATCAGCTCGAGAGCTGCTGTTATCTGAACTGTCAGTCTGACTGTAGAAATAGATAGATTTGCTTTGCTTAGGAACACAGCTGTAGTTTTAGTAGCAGGTAAAACTACTAATGCTGTGGTAACTACATGAAGTAGTAACAGACAGCAAACGGTAGAGATGTATTTTCATCCACAGCTTCAGAAGTGCAAACTGCAGTGTCTTGAGGGTTGCCAGATACAAGTGAATTTGACGCTGTCAGTTGAGAAGTCTCTGCCTCTGGTTATAGCTTTTCCTGTAACTAAGAACCAGCAGCCTCTGGCCTCAACTTTGATAACAGGCAGAAAGGAAAAGGAACTTCAGAAAACCAGTTAGCAAAATAAACGTCCTTAAATCACACTTGGGCACCAGTGAAAGCGCACACAGATCACACAAGACAGGTTAATGCTGACACCAGTGCTAGAAACAGCTACAACTTTTAAGCTGCCATAGTACCTAGGCCTGGAACAGAGGAAGGCACAAATGCATTAGAGAAGAACCACAGTCACACATCCTCCTGGCAAAGCGTCAAGCCCGTCAACAGCAACACTGTCCTTTCTCTCCATAGTGGCTGTCAAAAAGCAAGCAGTATTTTCACCATTTCCTGCAGGAAGACCCAACAATGTCAAATTGCAGGTTAACTCTTTCCTCTGTCAAATTAAGAGTCTGGCAATAACAGAGCTCTGTTACTATGAGAACATATCTAGATCTACTATACCCACAAATGAAGAATCTTCTGAATGCCTTATAATAAAATATTTTGTGCAACCTTTTAACAGCTACATGCAACAGGCAAACATTACATAGTTTAGTGATACATGGCAATCTCCTTTTACTCCTTTCTACATATGCAAGATTCAAACTATAAGAAAAGGTTTCTGAAGTTTAATCAGATGATTTTATTCTGTACTGAAACAGTTTCTTTTATTTTCTAAATTATAATGGCCTGAAGATGATACCATTGTATAACCAAAGACCGTTGTTCTGGGTGCTCACAAGTCAACCTCTGACGAGAATGTTCCAAACTAGATTAGGAAGCTGTGTACTCCCCTGCTGCCTCTCCAGCTGCAGCCAAATTGCCTTCAATGCCTCTAAGACCAGTGAATATCAGCTATCACACTCACTCCAACTCCTTAAGTAACACAATGGAAGCAGAAAGAGAAACAAAACCAGTCAAAAACCCCAAAAGACAGTTTCCCTGCAAGCACACTTGAAAGAATCACCAGGATCCATACTCACCCACTGGAGCAGAACAGGCATTTTCCCAATACACTACTTATCCACCTGGAAAGACTCACTCTAGGACTGAGTCACCAGGAAAACCAGCTGCTGAAAATCCTACCCGTGATTCCAGTAACAGAAGGAACCTGCATACGCAGAAACAGAAAGCAAGATACAGGAGATAGGCCTATTATTCAGTCCTACCACTCGCCATAAACATTACTCTATTTCCTCTTACTTTAGAGAAAGTATAGTCTTTGGCACATTTCTCATCACTTCCTCAGTCTTCTCCACAAATACCCTGATAATGACTCAACACATCACTGGACATTACACAATCTTCGAGAAAGCCCAGAAAGGCAACTTTTTCTCAACCACTTTATGATGAAATAGAGGGTCCTACTCTTTTGCTACCAGACAAGAAGCTGAAACAGAGAACATGGGAGACAAGACATTCAGAATCCAATGCAAGAGAAATACAGGATGAGGAGAGCCAGGGACTGTAGGAGAAGCCACATGCTTCAGAGAGAGTCAAATACAACATACAGATTACTAATTTGTAAACAGAGATGGGTGGCCAGAAGCTGCTGAATAACTAGGTCCTGAAGAAAACAGGTTTCACGTAGCACATCCTTTTAAATAGCACATACATAGGATTTGTAATACAGGAACATTAAACATCAGTGTAGACCTCTACACATACTACAACTGAAGAAAAAGGAGAGCACTAAGCAAAATACTCTGGCAAATGCTTGGTTTATCTCCACACTCCCTTCTAACTACAATTTGAGAAGAGAATTGAGAATTCAGCCACTGGTATACTCCTACACCCTGTTTACACAGCCACCTACTACCTTGCATTTTTTAAAATCTCTAGTAGCACCACTATGGAAAGCAAACCACTACTCTGCAGCAGTGTGAGCAAAGTCCAATTCAACTGATTTCTTCTACTTGTAGAAAAGGACAACAGCTAAAGCGAATACTCAACCAAGGGAAAGAAAGAAGTAACACCTTGGTTTTTTGCCCCTATCAAATTTCCTTTGGAGAAGTTGGGCAAACATTCACTTCTGATGACTCTAGTGCACACAAGAACACCCCATTTGCCCCACCTCCCAAAATAAGCTCCAGTAAATTACTCTAACTGGCATATAACAAGATTTGTGGCTTTGACTGGATCTATTTGCATTCATGTTTATTACATGACAGAACATAGGTTCTTTGCTGTGGTAAGCAAACCCTGAGTAATAAAATGGGTCTGAAGAACAAATACTGCCAATAAAAGGCAGCTGTCTTTTATACCTGAACGCAGGTCCATCATAA